TTTATGCAAACTTGAAAAATATTTTGTTTGGATGTTTGACGCTTTGGGCTCAAAAACTCCAATGGCAGTAAGCAGTAATAAACTGTACGCAGGCCAGAGCAGCATCATCTACTGCAGGCTGAATGAATGAACTTGTAGAATATAGTTGGGAGTCTTATGTATCAACTTGTCTCGGCATTTAAGACAATGTTTAATACAGGATCTGGGAAATACATGAGCACCATCATCTACTAGGTGATTCAACCATCCATCACGATCCTTTCATTTTGATACATTCTAACTTCTAAGCAGTTTCAAGATTTTCAACCCTTGTTTTTAAATGTTCTCAAGGTAATTACTCTGTAGGCTTGAATCTTACTTTAAAAAGTATATAGACAGCAAAAAACTAGAAGAATTTCTGCTAATGAATAATACAGTCAATATGTCTAGGGATTGGTAAGAAGAGATGAGACAATTTCTACAAGTAGAGCATTTCAGAATTTATCCCAAGATGGTGATATATTTCAAATATCTACTAATCTATTTCTTACTTCAACCATTTTCTCTGTGTATCTGTCTAACAATTAGATTTCATTGCCAACATATAAACTCTACATCCTGTTGATGCATTTCCAGTTTTTTTCTTCAAGTTTCTTGATTAAATTGTACAACTAATGTATGCTGTTTAAGATATTGAGCAGACAGGAAGAGTTTAATTTCATATTAAGTGAGCATATATTCATCACATTTGTGAGAAATGTATTTTCATATAATATTGATACTGGTTAAATATTAATAAAGATTATATACCGTACCGGTACATTAAATTGATTATAGATCGATTCTAATATCTTCATTTATAGGTTCAATACCAGATACATGTTATGCCTTAGATATATTGATTATATAGAAACCTTATGATCTAATACCTCATCAATAACTATATATTTCTTGTTTACAGAGTGAACGAATGAAATTAGTTATGTAGGATCATAAAACCCAAGAGTTAAATAGACAATTCAATTCACTATCAAAGCTTTAGAAAATTTCTATAAATTAAGTTTGCTCTTGTGTAGTTCTTTTTATTCCAATACATGTACAGTTAGTATGTGAAAAGAAAAAAAAGAAAATGTTTTAGTTTTATGCCTTGTTTTTGTGAACCTAATGGACTAATGAAAACGCCAGGCAATGTCGCAATGTGGACAATTTTTCAACGGTCAGTTGCATTTGCCCACTCTTTTTCGATCAACTGTCTTTAACATGCACATCCTAGTGTATCACATGGGGCTTCACTTTATTGTTCCATCCCAATGACTAGATATTTTTTTTTTCATACCAGTCCTTCCAACCTGCACCACTGACAAAGTTTACCGTTTTGAAAAATCCAAAGATAGTCTCAACCTATTCCGGGAAAAGTATATTACAGCCAAATAAACTAATAGCATTTATATTGAACTATATGTGACCAATTTATTGAAAAGGGGCATTCTAGATCCCTGTATATGAATGTTACAAGTGGCTAATGAAGCTCAATAGTCCTGACTTCTGACCATATTAGACCTATCCTAATTGATAAAGAGCTGATTAAAAAGATTAGCCACCATATAAATATAATAGTAATACTTATAGACCAACCCTGGGAAAATATATATATGATTGTATTATCAAGGTGTGTAATAAAATAACATGATTATCATACCTGACTCGAGAAAACAAAATATTATCATACCTTATCAAATATCTATATATTGATATCATATTATCATCATAAGTTAAGAGAAATGAAATAAAATGAATAGAGTTTTAATTCCTACTATGCTGCACACAGGCGATGTGCAAAATTTGGGAAATGAGGGAAATTTTGCCAGGACAGCGGCATTAGCCTGCTCTGTTTTGATTTGCAACTCTAACATGTACAGCCTGTAGCACACAGGACCTCAATTTTCAATGTCAGCCCCTCTTACCTACATCACTGACAGGGGGAAACCGGGTTGAAAAATCGAAAGGTATCACCTGGACCTATGCCGAGATTGAACCCTAGACTTTCAGGTTAGCGAGCAAGCATCAAACTCATTGAGCCAGCACGGCTCCCATAAGTTAAGAGAAGGGGGAGAGATTAGAAGGAGGAGGGCAAAAGAGGAAGGACTAAGGAAGAGGAGATATATATTATATCATATAAAAGCATGTACTGATAAGATTATTTCACAATAATATAAGCTTATTTAGTTCACAGCAATGATCTGAACTAACTGAACAGGAATTCTACAATATTTCTAAAGTCTAGATATCATAGACAATATAAGAATGACAGTCAGTTCAAACTTTCCCCCCACCCCCAAAGACAGAATTAGCATTAGCTCTCTAAAATTAGCAAGCAGCTTAGACGAGCTGGAAAAGAATTTAGAGCCCACACAACCATGTTCAGAAATTTTAGAAGGACAAGTCCAGCAAATATGTCCAAATCAACAGCCCTGGTTAAGAGCAATTTTCCCCAGAACCCTCAGCTAGCAGCTATCCAATACCAGATAGATTGCCCTAAACCAGACTCAGACAATTTGACTTACATTGTAGGATAAGAATGATGACTAAGATGTTGCTCCACTCTATTCTATTCTACTATATATATTTAAGATTAGTCAATAGATAGTCAGTGAACCTTGTCATCTTATATTTTACACATACCTTCACCTTGTCCTTCTTTTCACATATTTATCTCATATTTCATTTTGAACATTTTTTTCCCTTGATTTGTGTAGGAAAATAGCCTTGAAATATCAGTTTTTAATTATGTACGAATCCTTTTAAATCAATTTTAGGCCCAGAATACAGATGTTTTATAACATAAATTATAGATATTTGGGTGTTGTAGGAAAATGTGCTTAATGTGTGAAGATTGTATTAGATATCAGGCGCAGGTACTATGCGATTGATAGATCTTATATAATTACCTTTATACTTTAGATGAAAAATGTTTTATTTTCATATTTCAGAAAAGGTGAAAACATGTTAAACTGGCTATAAAATATAGCAAAATAGGCTTGGTAGACCTATCACTATTAACTACACCTACTATGAAGTTCTAAACATTTAATGTTGTATTGTTGGGTATAAAATACCAGTTTTTATATTTGAACAATCAAATATAGGTTAAACTATGACTAGTCTTTTTATTTCTCTTTCTTACAGATTGGCTACGTCTATTATTCTTTATGGTCTACATTTTTTACTACTCATTGGGTTAATGTTTGATAGAACGTAAGCTCAATAAGATGTTCTCAAAGCCTTCCAATATTTATTTATAAATGAATTGCTTTGATCCCTGCTCTAAAATACATAAATTGTGCTCCTTCAGATAATGCATGTTTATGTCTTAACAAAGATACCCAATGAGCTTACAGCTTAGACAGACTAGAAAGAAAAGAATTTAGAGCCAACACAACCATGTTCAGAAATATTAGAGGGATGAACGGACAAGTCCAGCAAATAAGGCGAAATAAACAGCCCTGGTTAAGAGCAATATTTGTTTATAGCATAAAAAAGATACCAATGAATATTTAAAATTGTCTTTAGATCAAAACAATTTCAATCAAAGACAGAATCAAAAAATTGATAATAAGATACCAGCATCAGATTGCAACCCTCAAAATTGAAACAAAGCCTCGCATTTTACTCAATTTTATTGTAATACATGTACATCTTTATCATTTACCATTGTGTCCAAACCACACCTCCATTCATGCAGTACCAATATGCATTGTAATGTCATGATAAGTCTTTTCACGAACCACTGCTCACAAATTTTTCAGACAAGTATGCTGCGACCCCAGAAACCATGGGAACCATGGCTATGAAGTAACTATTTCATTTTCTACTTATGATAACCTAGTATAATAAGACTTCAATTTTACACATCTTGAAACCGATTTAAATTCAGGATAGACTTGTTTATTTTTTACCTCACAGTGTAATTAATAAAACACAAGACGTCAACAACTAAAAAACAAGAATAGGGCCAAGTTAAGAGTTCATTTTCTTTTATGATTCAATCTTTTCAATTTTGGCTGAATATTGTCCTGTGTGAAAACAAGTGATAATGTGTGCTCATGTTTATTTTTCTATCAATGGAAATTCATTCTGAGACTAATATTCCGAAAGCACTGAAACCAATTAAAAAAATTTGTAAATGTCAATTGATGAACTAATGTATGGATTGTATGGACACTAAATTTCAATTCTCAAGTACCAGTAGATGACAGTAGTCTAATGTCTAAATCAGTTTACCGGTAGGCCTATGTAATTCGGATGAATAGGGCCTATAGAAAAATTAATTTTCAAATTAATGTCAAACAAAGTGCTTTGCCACATCTATATTCTATAATTTATATCCCAAAACATAGTGAATATGTACGTATGTTTCATTAAATCTACTTAGATTACAAATTGATGTCGGCAAGTTCAAAGAAAATTTACACCTGAAATCAACAAGACAAGCCAAGGTGATGACTCAATTTTCAGTCACAGAGAAATGTGTTACAGCTTGAATCCTATCAAATCGCCAGACTAATTAGGTCGACAGGAGAAAGACAATTATCACCATGAAGTGATGGCATCCGATTGCCTTTCAAGTAGTTAATTAATCGGATGTCAACTTCTCACTTCCACTTGTCAGACTGTCAATGGCGGATCATCAAAACTTTCGGTCAGCATGAAAAAATGACACTCAGACTCAGCGTAATAATTTCTGACCGAATTCATAAACATTTTACAGAAATAAATCAATGAAAACAACTACTATATGAATTACCTGTGCCAGAGAAATATCCGGTAAATTAAATGTCCATTTCGGCTACTTTAGAAAACGCTTGAACAATCTGAGAGGTACAATTTTGACACACCCATCAAACAGAAAACCTGTCTCCTATTTTACATTTTCTTTTCAATGGTACAATGGACGAAACTACTTGTGCACAATAACCGATGACGTCATCACGCATTTAACACCTGAACAAATTTTGAGTAGAAACAATCCCAAAGATTACTACAAATGGCTTTGCGTGTGACTTTTTTAAAATCTTATAAGGAATATATCACAATTTCTACATCAAATTTTCTTTAACACGTGTAAATTTAAACGGCAAAAAGCTCAAATTCGGATGCCAATTGTAAACACATAAATTGATGACGTATTACACAAGAACATGTCATTTAGGAAGAAAAAGGTAAACAAATGGGTTTGGCAATCTGTTTTTTTTTCCTGTAGATCTATCGATTATCTACAAAGTTATAAATAGATTCTTATTAATTTTATCTTGAAGACTACGATTTTGACTAATTCTACTCAGTATTGTCACGATTTTAACTGGAATAGATTGAAAATAGTAGCCCAAGCCTTATATTGTGATTGATATTAAGGTTAGACCTGTGTCATATTTATGTTGAATGTTTGACTGATAATGATAGAACCTTTACTATTCTACTATCTTTGATTTCTATTACAACTTTCTTTTACAAGTACCAGTATCCTTTTTCAGAATCAATAAAGTTGCAAATGAAATGTTGTAAATGCTGGTGTGTGAAGTTGTTTCAAGTTAGACAGAAAAGGTTTGAGACAATTTGGATAAATAGAGGCCTTGGCTCAACAAATCTAAATTCAATAACTTTTTTTACCAGGTATATCACGTGATTAGAGTCTTGAAGCATATTAGAAAGACTGACTAGATACAGAACAGTGAATACCATGACAGTCGGTTGGCAAATTTTAGAAGTTGGAGATCAGGTAGGCTCAAAAATTTCCAATGTATAGATAGTTATCTACGTCTGTCGAAAAAATCCTCTTTATTTTAGGTTGGATAAATATGTTCATTATGTGTCTTTAAATATAATCTAAATAGACTTAAATATTTTGTTACTTTCTCTTCTAATGGGGTTGATTTTCATTGTTGTAACCTTAATAAACTAATATAAATTACAGGCTCTGATTTACAGCCATGATGGAATAGCTAGGATTGAAGATGGTCCAAAACGGGTATGTGTTTTAGTTTATCTTTCTCTACTTATTTCACTTAATCTGACATAAATAAACTCTGTCTGTCCTATCTAAAACTGAACAGTTGTTCAGGTTCAAAGTTCAGATTTATTGGTCAAAATTGAGAGTTGAGTAAAATTATTGAACTGATAGAGGGTTAAAGGTTGGCTCTGTGTTATATAAATTTGACTGGTCTAATTTCAGTTGTTTTTATGGAGAGAAAAGTTCCAGAAATTAAGAAAATATTCAGCAAGTCAGAATCAGTATTTATCTCTACATTATAGAAATGGACAGGTGGAACATGTTAGAGGGTAAAATAGACATATTCTGATATATATAAAATACTTTATTTGATTTGGGTTAGATTTAGCACCAAATTGATAATTCATTTTCTCAAATTTCTCATGAGGAATTTTGTACCTCAAGCAATGCATGGTGAAACTCAAAATGGTGAATTTGTTTTCCTGTTGTTATAATAGTTTTTCTTTCAAGTGGTATTGTAGTACTGATTTTTAGACGTTAGTTTTAGAACCTCAGTAGTAATCTTTATAAATTAAATTAATTTCTTTGTAGCCCAGAGTTCAGATTTTTAAACCCAATAACCTATACTGATATTAAAATAAAAGAATGTACATCATTAGATGCTAATGAAGCCGTAGTTGTTTATAAACAAGATGAATCTACCACCAATCGTTATGTTCTATATGGACCTACATTGTTTATGCCTGCAGCTAATGAATGGTAAGTAGAGTTGACTATAGGTGAAAAGAAGAGTTGTTCTTTTGTGTAGTACATGTATAAATCTTGCTATATGTGATGATGTTTTTGTCAGTGGTAAATAAATAAAAGGTTTGTTGATTGCCTTTTCAGGTTGCATGAGTTTGTTTGGCATGGTACTGATCCAAAGAGTAAAACTAACATGATACCAAATGCAGACAGATTTACAAAGTTAAAAATTATACCGGATCAGTTCTACTATAATGTAAGTTGATATTTGTTACTACATGCATAATATGAGGATTACAGAATGTGCAATCAACAAGCATGGCAACCGTGGTTTATTTTTTTGAACTTTCTTGATTGCTTGCATACTAAATTGTCCTCGCTTTAATTTTCACAGGTTAAAATAGTTGCATCTTCATTCTTGACTGTTGTACCTTGACATATCTTCTGTAGGTTCTTCTTATGATCACATTGAACTAGGATAAGAGGGTATGTTAAGATTGATCCCTTGTTCCTAATATTGCATCCCCTTTTTGACAAGTTACTAAGTTGAAGTGTCTTTGATGTGTGGTTATTAAGAGGCAATAAGAGTCTAAAAGATAAGGAACCAAGAAGCCAGATTGTGGTAAATGTGTTGTAATCACTGACTAAGACTAAGAAAGGTTTCTACAGTATATCTATTTTATGTTTCTAGGTAGATGAAGTAAGGACAGCAGATGATGCACTAATTCGAGTCAAGTTGATGATGTTTTATGAATTAGTAGATGTAGATTTAATGGTGAGTTTTAGATAAATTCTCAGTTCTAAAAATGTGTCAAAGATAGCTAGTATGTCAAGATTTCATACTACATGAATGATAGAAGCAGAGATAGCAAGCAGGACAAGCAATCATCTACCCACGACAGCATTTATAATATTGTTTTTAAATAGGTTTTCAAATTTCTTTTAAAGAAAATTCTATCCTTTGTTGTGTGTTTTTTTGTAGGATTTATTAAGCTTTGGGAAATAACTTAGAAACTGTCAATGGAAAGATTGTTGATTGTATGATCGGGGGGGAATCAATCAAACCGTTCCAATATCTTTTCCTAAGACAAGACAAAAGCTATTGTTACATGTTAGATACAACTTACTGACTTACTTTAATTGTTTCATTTTCAGCTCAATTCTACAAAGGATCCTAAAGCAGATTTCATCAAGTAAGGTTTTTTCTTTACATTAAGTCCATAATACAAAATTAAAACCAAATTAAACCTTTACTTAAAATATTATGTGTGATTTCTTCCTCTCTTAGTCTGAGAAATGGGAATTTTTTAGCCAAGCCTATCAGTAATAGTGTTCACAGCATAAATCTATGTGTATCCAAAATTATCTGTGTTAGTAAGTTAAAAAGACGAGTCGTCTTTTCTTGAGACACTGTCATATATAGAAAAGATATCTATAGAAATAGTAAAAGAAATTCCTAGTTCTGTCCCTTTAAGATTGTTTGCTGTGCTTGTTGGAATGGAAATAAATACTTGGATTTTCTGTCAATCTATGAGTGTCAATCATTTGACTTTCAACTGCTCCTTCCCAATTTTATTTTCTAGATATAGCATCAAGTGATCTCTAATTTTCTACTTTCTTGTTTTTAATTATTAATCTTTTAATTATACTTATTAGTTTTTTTTCAGTTGTTTATGTGCTGATGTTGTGGCCTTTGCATCCAAACAAACGTAAGTGTATATTAATATTATAGATAAAAACTATTAAAGTTAAGGTCCACCCGTCTGAGAAATCGAAATTGATAAACTTCGTGGTATAAGTAGCCAAAAGATTACTATTCAAGAAATATGAGCCAATTTTCGTCTTAGTAATGGATGTGTTTCTTTCTTGTTTGAGGAAAAGAATAACTCCCTCTTTATATCAAGTTATTGTGTATTTTTTCAGGTATATTAATTTTATCAATACCTCAGATCTACTAAATGAATTGAAGACGTACCCACAGTTGCTAGAGAGATGTAAAGCTATAGGATATTCTGTAACAAAAGTGGTCTTCAGAGGATATTTTACTCATGATAAGCTACAGAAGATGCATGACTGGGCCATTGGAAAACGTACAGACTTGAAATTGAAGGTAAATTATCATTTGTCATATATACTCTTTTCGGGCTATTCAATCAATCTGATTTAAAAGACTGTGTAGGGCTTGTAAATTTTATTTTTTGCAATTTGTGAAATTATTTCCTGTCTTGAATTTTTAAAATAAGATACTGGGTAGCAGGTTCTATGTTATGATATGTTATTTCAAGTAGTGCTATCTATGTATTTATATATTATAGTTTGAAGAGGAAAAACAAAACCAAGAACTGATAGACATAAAATTACAGAATGAAATGGATAGAATCAAGCAAGGTAAGATTTTATGGTCTCTTTTATACCTTTATATATAAATTCCATTAAAAATATTATACATATCGTGGTAAACCTTGTACAACGATATCAGACGCGGAATTACTTTTCGAGAAAAACGCAAAAAACTATTTGTACGCGTATTTTGTCAAAATCTTTTTTATTAATTTTTTTACCGCAATACATGGTTTTCATTCTTAGAAAATATAAACCTCGTATAACAATTCGAGATCTCCAGCCTTTTGAACCAAAAACTCATATAATAATACAGTACCGGTATACAAGGTTTTTCATTTTCATCCACAGAAAAGGAACATTGAACGTCGTATAATAATATATTTTACGAGATTTTAAATCTGACTGTTTATATACGTGTTATTTAATTAGCGCTTTTTGAGTTATTTACAATCAAGCTAAGAATACGAGGATTTGATGACAAGATCCGCGCTTTTACGAGCTTTCGAACGGCACCAAAAAGACAAAATGACCAAATATGGCATATACGAGGTTTCAAGCGGTCACCCACGATATAGGCCTTTGATTCAATGTATTCTGGATATAATTTCTTTTCTACTTTATAGAACAAAGTATGGAAATATCTGCATTAGAGCATCAACATGATTTAGAACTGTAAGTATAGTTTATTATTGTATTGGAGTGAGAACTATATCAGAGTTATCTTCTCTTATGGTACTATCCGGAGTTAACTCCCTTTCATACCACAACTAACTATGTTCAGCTTTTGTTTGTGTTTAAGGCTACATTAACAGATTTAGGGGACATTGCTTGATGTCACTATTTTCAGAATAGGTACATGCCAATATCATTTGATCTTTTGACTTATGTTTTGGTTTTCATGCTTTAATTTCAGATCAAATCATATACATAGTTTAGAACTGGAGAAAAAATTACATGAAGAAAAGTTGAGTAAATATAAACAGGAAACTATTGCAGAATTAACAGTAAGTAGCATACAAACGTTTTCAGATAAAAATTCATACAATTAACATAAGCAGTAGGCTTTTTTGCTGTTGCCATGATCTGATATTTATAAAGGAGGTTTATTTACATATCAATCACTCAACTGAAAGTAGTTTTCATGCAAATTCCCAATTTCCCCTTTTCTCAATTTTGTATGATGTAAAAGTATTTTTTTGGTTATATCTCCATAGATGTATTGTCGGTGTTTTTCAATACATATTTTAATCTGTTTCAGTACAAAAACAACCAGAAGATAAAGGAAGTAAATCATGTACAGCAATTATCAAAACTTGGAGTAGATTTAACTCAATATCTGACATCTCAAAAATCACGACCAAATTCTATCACAAATATTATAGCTACAGATAATAATACTCCTGTCTTACATCTACATCAAAATAACTAGTTCCACATCATAATGCCTTGATTCCAAAAGAATAATTTTCCTAACCTTAAGGTGTTTCGATATTGATATGGACATTATATGAAATTGATTTTTTAAGTTTTTTCTTCAGAATTTCAGTCCACCCAGCTATAATGGGTATGGAACAAAAAAAATGTGTCATTGAGATTTGTCTGACATAATTCATTGTATCTTACTAATTATAATGAAATATTTTGAATTCATTTTTATCCATACCTTTGTATTTTATAGATATATTTGTATTGTATATTCTTTACATTCACCAACCTATGTACCTATTTTATGAGCCTTATATGGTTAACTCTTCAACTGTTTAAAACTTCAAGATTGAATTCATTCTTTATGCATTTTGAAATTTGTCTGCTTTTGTGTTGTTTTTCCAGAATAATGATTTGGTTAACCAAAATTTTATGAGCTATATTTTTTTATCCAATTATGATTGGTTTATAATTTATTTTGAATTTTAATCTATTTTAATTATTTTTACTTTTTTGTTTTATTATCTATTTCCAATTTTTTTTTTTTTACTTTAAGGTGGCTTTTTCATGCTTAAAAAATTGTGGATCTTATTGTTTTCTTTGAAATTTGTGTCTTTTGGTATTATCTTTAAAAAAAAACTTGAAAGGAAATTGCCTTTATATTATGGTAATTTGTATCTTTTGGTATTATCTTTAAAAAAAACTTGAAAGGAAATTGCCTTTATATTATGGTAATTTGTATCTTTTGGTATTATCTTTAAAAAAAACTTGAAAGGAAATTGCCTTTATATTATGGTAATTTGTATCTTTTGGTATTATCTTTAAAAAAAACTTGAAAGGAAATTGCCTTTATATTATGGTAATTTGTATCTTTTGGTATTATCTTTAAAAAAAACTTGAAAGGAAATTGCCTTTATATTATGGTAATTTGTATCTTTTGGTATTATCTTTAAAAAAAACTTGAAAGGAAATTGCCTTTATATTATGGTAATTTGTATCTTTTGGTATTATCTTTAAAAAAAAACTTGAAAGGAAATTGCCTTTATATTATGGTAATTTGTATCTTTTGGTATTATCTTTAAAAAAAAACTTGAAAGGAAATTGCCTTTATATTATGGTAATTTGTATTTAATTTAAGTTTTATTATTGTATTATTTTTTTATGTTGTTTTATAATGCATGCAGGCGTGTATTACGTTGTATCTTTCTTTGTTATATTGTGTATTTTATCAATAAAATAAAATTATTTGCAATTGTTGTTTTATGTCCTGCCACTTATACACTTTGTTAAGAGCACAATTCCATTATTATTGACAAATGTGATCATTATTGACAAATGTGATCATTACTGACAGATGTGATCATTATTGGCAACTGTGATCATTATTGGCAAATGTGATCATTATTGGCAAATGTGATCATTATTGACAAATGTGATCATTATTGACAAATGTGATCATTATTGACAAATGTGATCATAATTGGCAACTGTGATCATTATTGGCAAATGTAATCATTATTGACAAATGTGATCATTATTGGCAAATGTGATCATTATTGGCAAATGTGATCATTACTGACAAATGTAATCATTATGGACAACTGTGATCATTACTGACAAATGTGATCATTATGGACAAATGTGATAATTACTGACAAATGTGATCATTATGGACAAATGTGATCATTATGGACAAATGTGATCATTATTGACAAATGTGATCATTACTGACAAAAACGTGATCATTATAGACAAATGTGATCATTACTGACAACTGCAATCATTATTAAAAAATGTAAGCATTATTGGTAGCTGTGATCATTATTGACAACTGTGATCATTATTGACAAATGTAATCATTATTGGCAAATGTGATCATTATTGACAAATGTAATCATTATTGACAATTGTGATCATTATTGGCAACTGTGATCATTATTGGCAACTGTGATCATTATTGGCAAATGTGATCATTATTGACAAATGTAATCATTATTGGCAACTGTGATCATTATTGTCAAATGTAATCATTATTGGCAACTGTGATCATTATTGGCAACTGTGATCATTATTGACAAATGTGATCATTATTGGCAACTGTGATCATTATTGGCAACTGTGATCATTATTGACAAATGTAATCATTATTGACAAATGTAATCATTATTGACAAATGTGATCATTATTGACAAATGTGATCATTATTGGCAAATGTGATAATTATTGACAAATGTGAGCATTATTGGCAACTGTGATCATTATCGACAAATGTGATTATTATTGATAAATGTGAGCCTAAATGGTAAATGATCTGATTTGGGCAAATATGATCATTTTCACAATGAACATACTCTTTTCTAGGACAATGTGACATCATTTTTGTTGTCACATTCTTTATTTTCATCTCACATTTTATATTGTCCGAAAGCATTTATTTCCCTTCTTTTCTTATATTCTTACTTAACCTTGCCATAAAATTCTCATGTCAATTCAAATCAACTGCGAGACCTTCTAGTCAACAATTCTCGTTTGATCTTGATGCAAGTCTTAATTTTAATTTGCCTCATGGGATTTGGGCATCTTTTCTCCTTGTGATATTTAATTTGGTTTCTCTGCGTCCTACTAACAAACTTTGTCATTTTTCCTGTCTGAAAGTGTAAGCAATCCTTGTTTTCCTTGTCCTGGGATCAATTCGCCTTTCTTGTAATTCTCCTTACTCTTGTCTCCTTCTATTAAAAGTCCTATTTAGATGTCTCTTCTCCTTGGACTCAAACATCACTTCCCCTGCTTCTGGTCCTCTCTTCTCCCTGCCCAAAAGTATCTCTTCTCCATGTCTTTAAGTCCAACTCTCTCATTCGTTGTCCCAAAGTGTCTCTTCCCATTGTCATCTATTCCCTCTTCTCCTGACCTTTCCCTCTTGTAGTTCATTAAGTCTCTCTTCTCCTTGTCCTCTATTTTCTCTTCTCCTTATCGTAAAGATCTTTCCCTCTTGTCCTAAAGTCTCTCTTCACCTTGTCATCTATTCTCTTTTCCGCTTGTCTCAAGGATCTCCCCCTCTTGTACTAAAGTTTTCTTCTCCCTGCCCTCTCTTCTCCTTGCCTTAAGGATCTCCCCATCTTGTCCTAAAGTCTCCATTCTCCTTGCCTTAAGGATCTCCCCATCGTGTCCTAACGTCTCCATTCTCCTTGTCTTAAGGATCTCCCTTTTGTCTTTAGGAAACAACAGTGGAGGTAATATAAAAACAATTTTAGATTTTTACAAAAACTTTAATATACCCAAAACAATTATTTATATTTTGTACAAGAGCAACGCTTTTTGACAAAGCATTACGTTTTTTTCTTAACCGATGTATAGTAAGTAATACAGACAACGTTACATAAAAAAAAAGAATTGAAAGTTGTCGCAAAAGAACACGTAATTTACACGTTAACTGTGGGCATGACATTTTGATTTTGCTTAATTGTACTTCGAGAATTTTGAATTTTTCAAATTGTCGATTGAAAGTCTTATTTCTTAAGGGGGTGATAAACTTAGTTTCTGGATGCTAAAGACCCGAAACTTTGTTATAAATTGCTTTATATCTACAGTACAATTTTGATGATTTGTAGCGGAATTGGACTTTCATTCTGAAAAGAATACATGATATTGAGAAAATAATTTGACAATTATAGGCTTATCACTTTAACAAAGCCAAAGCTTCCGCCTTTTCCGAAATTCTTCAAACTAGGTGTGTTGAGTCATTATCCCATAAATTCATAAAACAAATATTTGTAATAGCTAAGGTGATTGATTTTGGACATTTAATTGATGAATTAGAATAAGAATGGAGTCTTTTTCCCGTCCCACGCCCACAATTTACGAGCATAGAATATCAAAAAGGAATGTGAAAAGCTTAAAAGGATACAACCTATTAGAATTGACATGAAAATGTAAAGTCTCGAACTCAGTCGACATGTGTATATATTTATCAGTTGGTCTTACCAGGTGCCTAACCAAAGAATAAAATATCTGTAAAGGACCATGTATCTATTGAACTAAATAATTATTGGAACAAAATATAGGGCTTTCATTTTGAAACTGATGCCAATTCGACGATCCGCTGGTTCAGGAAATATGTATGCAAGAATACGAATGCTGGTATCGAAATGTCCTTGAAGCCTCACAAATCCACCTTGAACACAACATGATATTGTCTGATAGAAATCTTCTTTATTTACTGCATAGAATTGATCTTTCCTGAGTTCATCTGAAATAGAAAGTAAGATGGATAATCCAACAGCATCTGTTCACCTAGTCAGCAGATTGTTGGCACAGTGACAGTTTTCTGTTATTAGAATAGAATACTGGAGATATTTATTCTCGGTTCATAGCTCAACTTTAGTCAATTATGAATAAGAAATACGTACTTTGCATCCATAGCTTTAAATGATTTAGCTGATTAAAATCTAGTTCTAGGACTGTTCAAACCATTTTGAAAAAATGGCGCAACTATATTGTTTATCCAGTTCGATCGAGTTGGTAGTCTGCGTCGCGGTATACGGTTACTTGGTCTTGATTGAACTGTAGAACCTGGTAACCGATTTAAAACGGTCTGAGGTCGCACAACTCTTCTATTAAAACGTGGTCTTTCAACTCTAATCAGATTCACTGGGTTTCTATTGAAATTCATTCCAAAATTTGAAGTTGGAAACAGACTGGACAAAAAGTTCTGTCGAGTTTCTGAAAATAATGGCATCAACTTATTAAGAGAGGCTAAGAGAGTTCTTTACTGGCCTTATTCTGAGAAACACAGAGTTAAAGTTTGGTCGTCAGCAATTAGTATCAGACGTTCCGTTCCCCAACAATTCAATAAATACGTGCTGCTCAAATTTTGAGATTCGTATACGTTATGAACAATCTTATGGACAGTTATGAACGGTTGTCATGTTGTTTATAATTTTCTGGAAGAGACGGCAGTATTAAATTACGCCATATTGTTTACTGTATAATATTTTGTTTAATAGAAATTTGGTCGCAGAAATTGGTCTCCTAAAGCAACTGATAAAAGATTCTTCCGGTCATCGAAAAACAGAATAACCTTACTTACGTTTGACCTCACAGTTGTACATTCTCTGTACGGTGGTGACATCTGATTGTGATATTGTCGTGGCTTTACCAATGAAATCCTGATAGAAGGGATCGATTGTCTGGATAGTTATAGCATTGGGAGTCCGGGCGAACGCCTGGAAAAGATAGGAAAAATTATGTTTATATCATGACTATTTCAATGGAAAGGGTTAAATCTCCGAGTAGGTTGAATACGGTTTCCATTCTAAACTATCTCAACTTCCGTCTTGCTATAATTGCAAGCTACTTATGCCTATGTAAATGAATAATTAGACGACTTTATCCGATATAAACATACTAGCAAAAACACCGATAGACCTTAAATGGATTGTAAAGAGATTTTCTAATTTTTTTCACGTGTATCGGGCAGACTGATAACATCAATTAGTATGATTCCCATTTTCGATCA